AACACTATCATCATGCAGTTAATGAACTTGAAAACTGACAGTTGCAAATACAAACTGCAAGTAACAGTAATTAAAGAGGTTTCACAGAGATTCTAATTACAGCAGCTCTTACATCTATTGGACAATAACAACTGAAAGTTTGTGTGGCAATGTCATGTTAGCTCATTAAAGGAGACAGTGAAATAATCCAGAGGGGCAACAACCACTGGGCTTTAGTCACTTGATTTTATTCACCAGAGAAGATATTTGTGATAGCAGCACCCAACATTAACTGGTGCAATTGCTATAGGGATCAGCTTATCAATTAGCAAATAGCAACTAGTAATCAGCACAACTAAATGGAGTGCACTGCATGTCCCAATAAAATGCTATAGCATTTCCTCAACATGGGCGTGAGGAGACCTCTCAGACTTGCAAGAGGCTCCCTTAGCCCCACATCCCAGGCGGGTGATGTAGTCAGAGGCGTTGCTCAGGTGTCATTCCTGAGCCTTGATCCAATCACCAATACCAGACTCTGTCCTTTATACACTTAGGGGACATACAGGTGACTGCTATGGTCATCCTTATGAGGTGATTGTTCCAGAACCTTCAGGCGAGATCCATAAGAGTATCTGCTCACAGTCAGCAAGACAAGTTTTGCAAAGGTATCTGTCTTTTAGCAAGTTTGGTAGTATTGCAGTTTTCAGTGAAACGAGACCACCCTGCCTCCACCAGACTTCCCAGTTGCCTACCTTCCTGCTGGGTACAGCACCCAATGTTTCCCCATTGTATTTCTGCCATAGGGGTAGAGCTCGTGCAAAGCTGTAGTTTTACTGCTAACTTGCCCATCAGGCAACATTGTTGGTTATTCAAGAGAAAGTCCTCATCTATCCAACAAATGGGGTGAAAGTCCCTTTAGGCTTGAGAAGTTTATGAAATAAGTGCTCTAGAAGCCATTTCTAAATACACTAAGGACCAGAAAATGATAGGGAATAATAAGAGGGGTTTACTAGGGGCAAATGATGCCTGAACAACTTCACTCCTTTCTATACGAAGTGATCAGTACCTCAGACACTAGAAGGATGTGGGAATATATAGGATAAAAGGTTAATAAAGGTCACCTGTTGAAGATTGCAAAACTAGGAATGAGGAACTGCTGTTGAAGCAGAGGGGATTCACTTAAATCCAGGACTGGTCACTGGGTTGGTGGTGCTCCAGGATTGGTGGGTTAAGATGTGTAAAATTCCCGAACCCCTGGACTTAATAATTGCTTTTGGCTGAAAACCACTGGCCTCTGCTGTCAATTACCCTACAGAAGGACAGCATTTATCAAATACATTTGTTGTCCATAAAATGTATAAATACACAATATTTTATAAATAGACTATTGGAAAAGGTGCAACAAATTCATGAGATATGGGCTGTATAATTGGATGATAATGTGGGGAGGAACTTGGCTGGGACTGGATTAGTTGCACAAATTCTAGCTGGTAGCCACTAACTAATACAGTCTCTCCAGGATCACTGCTGAGACCAGTATTGTTTAACATCTTCATTAACAACCAGGATGATGGAATGGAGTGCACCCTCAGCAAGTTTGCAGATGACACCAAGTAATTGCAGGGAGAAATGTGTATACTAAAGGGCCGCACTTCTGTTCAGAGGGACCTTGTCAAGCAGGAGAAATGGGCTGAAAGAATCAAGGGCAAATGCGAAGTCTTCCATCTGGAATGGAATAATCCCAGCAATAGTACAGGCTGACTAGCCAGGAAGTAGTTCTGCAGAAAAGATTGCCAGGATCTTTGGCTGCAGTAATTCCCCACCCTGTTCAACAGCAGGGATCTTGTGAGATTTTCTTACACAGTTTGAACTGGGTCTCTGTCTTTCCTGGGTCCACCTGCTTTTATGGTCCAGGTAGGACTGAAAGACATCAGAGGTCTGTGACTTTATATCTAAGCATGTTCTCCTTGGAGAACAGGTGCAAGATTTGGGTCTTAGTGGATAAGAACTCGAACATGAGTTAGTGTATCCCTGTAGCCAAAAAGAAGAGTAGTATCTTAGACTGTCTCAGTAAGAGTGGCACCAACAGGTTCAAAGAAGTCGTACTTTCTGGGCTACCTTGCATTTGGGAGACTGAATCTAGAATAGTGTTCAGTTTGGGGCTCCCATTACAAGACAGCCATTAACATCATGAAGCAAGCCCAGCAGAGAATCACCAAAGTGGTTGGGGTGGAGCATATAACACATGAAGAGAAGCCAAGAGAACTGGGTTTGTTTGGGCTTAAGAGGAAATAGTTCAGCAAAATCTCTCTGCTGTAGTTACCTGAATAGACAATACAGAGAAGATGAAGCCTGGCGATGTGCACAGCAATAGGAAAAAAGAGACAATAATCAAAGGTTGGAAAATGGGAAATTCCACCTTGGGTTTTTACAATGAGGTTGATAAACTGCTGGAACAGGTACTCAAGGAGGTTGTAGAGTCTCCATCCTTGGTTGTGTTTAACTGGACAAGGCCTTGAGCAACCTAACATAATCTGACCAGCTTTGCACAGAGCGTTGTACTACGTGATCTCCAGTGGTCCCTCCCAACATCAATAATTCTGATTCTTTGATACGCCTTTTCTCTGATCTGGCCTTACTATTTTGCACCACATGAACAATTCCACACAAGAAGAAAAAAAAAAATAAGCTCCTGCAGGGGAAAAAAGTGTTCTCACAACAGATTGGATCAGTGCTTGTCACACCTTCTGTGAACATAGTTCCTGTTCAGTGACAAATTTTGTTGCCTTTCACTTTCAAAAGTATTTTTTCCTTTAACCTATATATGCATGATGAAGAAAAATATGCACTCACTAATGTTACTTTAGGTAACTCTAGCATTTCTGTGTTGCCATTTATAGCCATGTAAGTTTACTAGAATTGTACATCCTTAACAGGATAGCTGCAATACAAAAAAAAATATACTGGTTTGAACTGCCTTGACTTTTTTTTAAACAAATATAATACAGTATGATTTTTGTTTACAAGCTCACCTTTCAAGAACACTGTATATAAGCCATCCAAAACGTTGCTTCACGTTCCTCTGAGAGGAACTTCATTGCCCTTAAGATTTCTTAAGCAAAACCTCACAGCTTTGTTGCTTTTATCTGCACTCATGAGATTTGTTGCACGTTATTCAAAGATATCCCAGAAGAAAACATGGAAGAACTATAATTTTCCTAACTAGAGTTGATTGCAATATGGACTCCAAATGCTTCCCTTATGTTTAAGGTTCTAAAGGGGCAGCCATACATTACCTGCTTATAAATAATCAATCCACTCTGCTTTGAAGCTTCTGCCCGTTAAATGGGAAACAAAATGAACACCGGCAGTGCAGAAAGGATGACATGACACACAATAACCTCTTTAGGCAAAAGAAACTTCTTCCTTGGTCTTGACAGTTTTGAAAATTTGGCTCTACACAAGGACTAGTGAAAAAGCATGTTAAGATCCACTATTCATAAAATGGGTAAATCTAAGTATCCTTATTCATTTATTAATGGCTCTTTAAATCAAGTGACAACGGTGGCCTGCTCCTGATTTGAGTCTAAGTAGACTTGAATAATCATTGTAATAAGACAAGGAGAAAAAAATGATGAAAAGTGACTTATTGCTGCAGGTAGTTTATGCCATAAAACTTGAGCCATATTTAAGCACCTGCTTTCATTACTATTAAGACAAAGCTTAATGAGAGTAGGGTTAGCAGGATTACCAAAGGACATTTGTTTAAATTCAAATGTTCCCATTTTAATTACGTAAAGGCAGTATTACAGAGTAACCTGCTTTAAAACAGACTTTGATCACTTGAATTTGATTCTGAAGCCAGATCTAAATTGAAATTACTTTTAATTATTGGGAAGTAGCATTTGATACAATCAAATGTTGTACATCCAGTATATAAAACTTTACCGCTTTCTGGACAACAATTAAAAAATCAGTAGTTGGAGTCCTCGAACAGGAGGGAAGAATCCACCAATAACACTAAACCTGTAATATTCCTCCCCTAAGTCTGCAGTCTTGCCTGCCTCAATAACTGTAGCATTTACTACATCTCATATGCTGAGCAAAGCTTTTGTCATACACATACACACAACACCATGACTTAACTGATTTAATTGATCAGAGAATTCATATTCTCTGATCAATTCGAGAGAGTGTGTGTGTGTGTCTATCAGTATCAATTCCTGTTACTTGCTGATCTAATAAGAGGCATCTGCTTCAATTCAGTAATCAAAAGTTTTCTCAGAACCTGATCTTAAGGGTTATAGTTCCTCTGCCTTCTTCCCCCTGCCGACTGATACATGCGACAGGACAATGCGAAGTCCCATCAACCTGGGGCTTACAGGTCATTCTGTATCTATCTACACAGTGGCATGAACAGCTCTTACCATTTTATGTTGTATTAATGGATCCTCATTCATTTTCTTACCCACCAAAAATAATGTCAACCAAATGGTGAGGGGGAAGAGAGGAAACAGAAAGCAATTAGCACTTTTAGGTCACCCTGCCTGCACATAAGTTCCTCTCCATTTGCTCTTTTAGTGAATGCTGCCTTTAAGTTTCAACAGGGATAAAAAACGAGTAAGAGCTGGAGAAGAGTTAAAAACCACCAAGCACAGAAGAAACATTTTATATCTGAACATTTCCCTGTCGCCATTCTTAGGCTAAACAAACTTTGTTTTAAATAATCAGCTCAACGGTAGGTAAAAAGAAAAAAAAAGTAAAAAGTAGAAAGGCCCTGCGGATGGGTGGGGAGGGGAACCACACACACCAGGATGCAGAGTATTTTTAAATTTTGAAAATAGTTCAATAAGGTTATCTGTAAGCATTCTAAAGGACCTACATACAATCTTAACAGTCTAAGTCATGTTTTTGACACTGAATAGTCATAATGTATGATTAATAAGGACATAAAAGCATATTTGAGGGTTTGTGGAGGCAGTGGAGAGATAAGAATGTGTTTGTGATTTTTATACACTAACCTAAAGCCCAGTATGACACAGTTTCCAGAGGTGGAGAACTACTGTAGATAGCATGGATATACATGAGGTGAATCATCAGCTCAGCCAGCAACCACCAAAAAAAGATGCGAATCACGCCCATGATTAAAATTCCAAGATTTGTCTTCAAACTGAAGGCTTCTTGTCTCCTCATCTAAAAGAAATCCAGAGAGGTTATATGATACATAAATGATGAACTGATTAATCAATAGTCTTGAAATAATTGTTAATTTCATGTTATTTATTAAGAGGAAATTTTGATTACAGCATTTCAAAATTCTTGACATGCTCTTACAATAGAGTCCAGTTTCTACTGTCTGAAATTCAGAAAGCAGAAACCAGCAAGTAGAAAACTGAGTGGTAACCAAAGCCAAACCTAAGTCTCCAGTCAATACCACAAGACTAGATGTGTTATCTACAACCAGCAAGTTCCGCTAGCATTTGTTGAAGCTCTTTTCCATCCTTCCAGATTGCATTCCATTCTCCTAAAACTGCAAAATTATCTGTGCAGCTGATGCTGTGAGAACACAGTGGTACCCACTAGAAAGGTGCAGTTTCCACACTCAGCACCCCGTGCAGGAGGATCCTGATTATTTATTCATGCCTCATACTTTTCACGTGCCAAAGGGTCTGTGCACTGCTCAGCTAGTACACACTGCCCAGTGCTTTATGTGTCCCTTCCAACCTTAATGATTCCACGAATTTATGATAAATTATCTATAAAAATAGTAGTATATAACTGCCTATTCATCTGGATAAGAGGCTTAGAAGCAAAACACGCAGCTTTTACACATTTCTCCACGTAGCTGTTATCGTCTTGAAGAATTTGATGAAGTTCCTTTACAACATAGAAATTACACTGAGAACATAAACAAAAGCCAGTTAGCTCAGCAAAAAAACCCTTCCTGTTAAGTCATCAGTTTTCAGACAAAGTCCTTTCCCTTCAGGTGCTTATAAAAACCTCTTATAATTAAAAACTCTTGAATGGACAGTAATATTATAAAGTAACAGATTCAACAGTCAAGAAATCATCTTTTTGCTTTGGGTTAGCAAAACGTTGCCTATTATTCAAGAGCTATACTTATATATGAATGAAAAAACAACAAAGCAGGCTACTAACATCTTACTTGAACATGTTTTGTACTAAAAGACAATCGGACATCCTCTCCTAAGGAAGATTTTAGAACAAAAATATAAAAGAGGAGCTCAGTGAGAGCAATTCATCTGATTGCCATGAATTCTGAAATAAAGCTAAGAAATACTAAGTCTTACAAACATGGCCCCCGTTTAAAAAAAAAAAAAAAAAAAAAAAAAAAAAAAAAAAAAAAAAGATGGAACATGCTTTAGTGAGCAGTCCAGTTCTGCGTCATGAGCACAAAATATAGGCAGAGTATTTCAGTAACTGAGGACTCCAAAAGACTTATTGCGCTTGACATCACAGACAACATACAGCATTTTATACAGTTTGATGTGTGTCCTTGTTCACACACTCATAGGGCACTTCTGAAACAAAATACATTACAGCAGCTGAAGCCCTTTCCTCCAGCTGTAGAAGTACATAGTCAGTGACATCTCATGCAAGAAAAAGCCCTGTCCTTCCTATGCATGCACTGACAAACATCCCAAATGTTTAGGGAAGCATTAAAGAGAAGTAGCAACTCTGCTGCAGCCTACAGAGCAGACAGAAAAGTCAAAACAGGCCATCGAGTTCCCCTGAAGAAAGTGGTAAAATCCCAGTGACCATGCAAGGCAAGCTATGCACCAAACTAACATCTCTGGCCTGAGGATAGGGTACCAGGACACATTGATCATTAATCATTCTCAAGTCCTGCAGAACCAATCTGTTGTAGAAAATGACAAGCGCTATTAACCTTGACACTATCCAGACATGACAAAGTACAGGAATTAAAGAAGAGCATCTCAACACCTATAGATAACAAAAAAAGTTGAATGAAACTACAGCTGTGAAGGAGAAAAACATTTCCAAGCAGCAGTTCTACCTACCTACCTACCTACACATGGAGAAAAATGCTTGTTCTTAAAACATCTCAAACTTCTACCAGCTGCACTGTATTACTACTTGAAAACAGTTCATCGTTTTTTTCCTGGAGAATTGCCAAGATCAGTGAAACCTGTGTGATGTGTTGAACAAATGACAGTTAAGTCCAACTGAAAAGAAAAAAAATAAACAAAAACCACAGAGATAAAAGATTTACAGCTGACTAGTTTTTCAAGATGCCCCCCTAGGCTAAACCACTACATAAACAAATTTGTATACTTTTTTTAAACCTTCTCTCTCTGAAGAAAATAGAATATGATCAAATAGCTTAATGAAAAGACAAGACTTTTTTGCCTAAATATCTAGTAATTTCTACATACATCTCTTATGGCATGCCAAAATTCCTACTTGCATTTGTCATCGTGCTTCTACTCACTCAGATCAAACTTAAAGATTTCACATGTAAAACCAAAGACAGATGAAAACTTGTGCAGAAGAGGCAAGTCTTCAATTGGCCACAAAAAAAACACATAAAAATTAACAATCCCACCCATCTGCAGGAACAGAAGGTGATATACTTGCAACAGAGCTAGAATACCATTAGCACTCTTCAATTGCACTATTCCCTTGAAGTCTTTGTATGCAAATTTGTCCTATCTAGCAGACTTTGAAGAGTAGTATTTAATTTTAGTTATTTTCACAGTAGGTATTCAAAATTTTGATGAGAATTTCAATGCACCACTTCTACCCAAAAACTTAATGAAATGTCAGTATTTCATTTTTGCATAGCAGAAAAATGCATATTGCTAGCACTATTATTAAGCTCTTTGGTTCATACAACAATTTTCTGTTTTCCTCTGGTAACTCTGCTCTCCAGACTGTGGAAAAGCAACACTCTTCCAAGCCCCAGCTTGAGTTAAGTGGTCCTGCAGTTCTCATTCTTCTTCTTCTATACAAAGAGCAATAAATATACTTGTGTTGTACACTTTGGACATACTGCTCAAAGCTCCTATCGTAGAAACTATTCATTCTCTAACCTCAGCTGCCAAGGCAGTTATCTTCCTCTCATGCAATAACTCTGAAAATGCACTTCAAGCGAACACCATGAAGAACCTAGTCAATACCATTATTTAATATATTTTCTTTATGACTTTTAACTAAATAGATCTAGGCATATTTAAATGAGAACATTTCAGATATATGCATCCCATCATTCTTTATGTTAGTCATCTCTGCACATTGTCTCGTACCAAGAATACAGACTGTATAGAGGGAGATGGGTCGTATTCAGATTATCTAAGTTTTATTTTGAGAACCTATGCGCAATTTTTCCTACCAAATTTCTCTAGTCCATTTTCTACTCCAGATCTTACATAGCTCTTCTGAAACTGAGAAGCTCATCTCCCTCCATCAGAGGTACAGAAATATAGGTGGAATTTAATATATTTTATGACTATAAATTGTACTGTATAGCTTCCTCAGTTTACATGCAAGTCAATCTAAAAAAAAAAAAAAAAGTCTTATTCATTTTTACATTTTTTTGATCCCCATTTCCTTCAGTTATGTTCTTTTCCTAAAACAGGCTTTAAAGATGCACAGATGACTGGCTTATTCTCAGCGAAGCCTGGAAGATGACTTATCACACACTTCTGTCAGCCTTCCAGATGGTTTTGCTTATTTGACTCATCTCCCTTAATGACATCCCATTGGCAGCAAGCACTTCAAGAAAACAAATTTCTTCCAAGTGAAGAAAGATCACTTGACTCTGCCCCTTAATTCATACAAGATCTCTGTCAGTCATATCTCAATAAGCAGCTCAGCACCTCTGGTTCCTATTCTACAGCCTCAAGGCTCGTTTAAGAGCTCCTACTCAGATATTCAAAGCCACACAGACTTGGACACTTGCCTACTAGTAAACCTAAAAGAAAATGAGCATGCAAATGCATTAGTCAGACTCAATTTCAGTGTCTATTTAGTGACATACCTTACCGCTTCTATTTCACTTGTATGAATCACAAAAGCTTGCACTCTTCTAGCAAAGAAATCTGACATTCTCCACTGCAGCAGAAGGGAAGCAGAGCTGATCCCTCCAGGATGACATAGCTACAAGGACATAATTTCATAGCTCTCACAAAAGCACAGTCCTATTGCTGATAGTTCCTGACATTCATAAGGTAACTCCATAGCATCTGAGTAAGCCTTTATCCCATTAGTGCTAGCCAGAAACTTCAGATATTTTATTTTGTTCCAAATTGTGCAAAAAAAGAAGGAATGCAATAAAGTGCAAAAATTTATCCTCCCTGCAGTCTTGGAGACATGAAAGATGGACTTGTGAAGGGCTAGGGGAAGAAAAACAAAAAAATCCAGAGAGGGGAGCTTTTCGCCTTCAGAGAGCTGCTCAGCTTTCAGAAGTCTGAAGAAGTGACGTAAGTGATTGATAAGCTGCTTTCAGTTTGAAATCACCCAACACTAGACATAAAGCCTATTTTGACATTTCTCTTTAATTGACCAAATATACACTCACAGTTAATTACTAGTCTTATATGAATGAAATACTATTCTACAGCTGATACATAAACATGGACACATAAAACTGGTTTCCAAGTACAGCCTTCCTTTTTTTCCACACAACAAACTTCAGCATGCGACAAGAGAGTGAAGATTTATATATATAAAAAAGGTAGATGACAAATATTTCCTTGTGTATTTAAAATTTTCTCCCAGTTAATGTTAAGATCTCTCAGTGAAGTAAAATACCTATCTTTCCTTTCACTTCTAATGCACGCTATGTGCTCCATACATAGATTTGGCAGCTAAACAGTTCTTAGATGAACTTTAGTCAAGCACAGATGCACTGAAGATTACTATCTTCATGATCTTAAAAATACTGTTACCTGCTTACTAAACTCATCGAAGTTCATAAGGGGTCCGTAGTGGAACACAGGATAATAAAACACGTATGCCAGCATCCACAGGAATGAATGGGATGATTTCTGGGTAGATCCATGCCAACAATATTCTAGGCTGAAGCTAGTGTAGAAGAGGCAACGAACAGACAGGGTGAACAGAAGCAGGTAATACTCATTTTCAGTGTCATACCATTTTCTCTGCAAGACAAAACAAAAACAGATCATGATGTGCAATGCTATATTTTAAATATGACAGGACTGCGGTGTCAATCATGATCCTAACTTTAATGAAAACCAGCACCATCAAAAGGCAACTAATGATAAAGAAGATAAGAACAACTCTTCAACAAACATCACTAATGTTTGCATAATAAGCACTGGATGTTGACAGAGAAAAGGCCGACAGAGCTGCTCTAAAAAGCATACAAAACACACACAAAAAAGGAAATATCGGAAAACTGTTTCGATGATTAAATTTGTATTTCATTGGACTTGAGGGCCTTTCCATCTCTCAGCAAGACAGAAACCTGTCTATCCAACATGAAAAACATCCCTAGCTCTCCCTCCTGCCAAAGGAAAACAAAAAAATAAAGATCATAATGACAAGCCATATAGTGCATTCCGAATTTTTTCTTAGCCCACATAAATGAAACAAAGAATTTTTTACAGCTGATTTTCCCCAAAACCTATAGTGCCCAGAGGGGAAAAAAAAAGAGAGAGAATAAGAACAGCAAAAACGCATTTGCACAAATCAGTTCCAAGTAGGCAACTTGTTAGGTATAAATCAAAATGTTAGAAAAAGTCTTTATCTCCATGCAGTAACCTGAGCTCACAAAGTACTGTCAAGCTTGACTAAGCAACTTCTGGGTATGAATCCAAAAATCAAACAATTTAAATTGGTATGATTACATCTCTAACAAAGTAGAAAGGCATTTACTACAGCATTAGCAAACTGTTTAACACACCCTGTCTCCATGGGATGACTCTTAAACACTAAGGCACATAATTTCATCACAAGGCACCGAACAGTGTGATTGAGAGTAATGTCCACTGCTCTTCATGAGTTACAATTAAACATTGTCACACTGAACCACATTGTTTTTTCAGATAGTTTCTAATGCTTCTTGTAAACCCAAACAGCAAAAGGGGAGAGATAGCTGTGTTTTTATATTCAAATCATACTATCTTAAACACTAAGGCACATAATTTCATCACAAGGCACCGAACAGTGTGATTGAGAGTAATGTCCACTGCTCTTCATGAGTTACAATTAAACATTGTCACACTGAACCACATTGTTTTTTCAGATAGTTTCTAATGCTTCTTGTAAACCCAAACAGCAAAAGGGGAGAGATAGCTGTGTTTTTATATTCAAATCATACTAGGCAAAACAAGAATATTTTATATATATCAGCCTGGTTCACAGGCAGCCCCGCCGGAAACCTGTTGAAGCCGGCCGCTCGGCCGGGCTTGTAACCAACTTAACCATCCTCTAAACTAGCTTTGGAGGTCAAACACCCAGAAATGAGGAAGAGGAGGAGAAAGACAGGACCCTCAAATTGAGGGCTGGGACCCCCAACTGGTATGCACGCCTGCACACCGCAGGGGGGAGAGTTGTGCAGCTAGAGGCGGAGTTTGTCCGCCCCCCGGGCTGCCTCCTGGGTCGAACTGACCCTACGTGCCAGGATGCACCGGGCATAGAGAGGACAGTGCGGAGAGAGCGGGGTGGGGAGAAACTCCTAACTCTGTGAGGCCTGCGCTGTCTCTGCGGGAGGCGGTCAGCAACTCTCTCTCTCTGGTCTGCCAGCTCAAGAGGACATTCGGGCCCAGATCGGCAGGTATCACCTCGTGAGTAGCTATCCATACTTTGCTTATTTTATGTGCTTTCACCTGAATAAATGCTTGATGTAGTCACCTCGTTCTGGCTGATTATTGCCGAATCCCGAGCCCATCCGGAACACCCCCGCCTGCCACTTTGGGCTTTTTTATCTTCTTCAGACAGGGCAGGTGTATTACAGTCCAGTTCTAAATAGATAAAATATGAGAAAGGATTGGGCATGTTGCCTCAGTGCAGACTGAGGAGAAATGACTCTGGAAGGCTGCATCTTCCCTACAGTTATTCCTAGCAATCTACTCTTTCC